GCCATATTCCTCCTTGGTATATCTCATGCCAACTGGACTTAGAGTGCTGTATGTTCCAGGGGTCGTCAGGGTCACAGCCTGGACCTTTGCAGTCCTATGAAGTCAGGCTGTGTCACTTAGTAACTCAGTTAAAGAGACAAAGTGACAGTGAGAAACAGAAGAGATTCAGTCAGTGCACACACTGTGAAGGAGAGTGATGAGGTACAATGGTCCCCCGAGTCCACCCGTGCAGCCCTGATGTGAAGTTCAGGTTTAAACAGAGGGCAAGAGCTGGGCATGGCTAAGCTGTCCTGGCCAAGGTGTAGTCCTGCCCTTCACTGACCCAGCTGCAGCTCAGGGCCAGTCCCCCCCGTAAGGTGGTCTGAGAGGCTGTCAGCACTTTGTGAAATCTCTCTGTGGTTCCTTCTGAATGAGACCTTCCAGGGAAAATGCCAGCCCCCAAGGCAAACACCAGCTCACAGCTTTTATCCATCTGAACCCCTTCTGCAGTGCTTTAAAAACAGGCAGTTAATAAGGGAGGCAGAGACATCGTCAGTGGTGTAGCCACCGGTAAGGGACCAATGCTGTGTGAAACAGTCCCTCACCCACACTCCTGAAAACAACAGTCATGAACACACTGGGTCACACAGATATGGGACAACCAGTAGATGGGCAACTAGCTGGGAAGAGCAAGGAGATCCATAAGGATGGCAGGAACAAGGGACAGTAGTAAGGGTGAATGTGATCGAAAACCATTACAAACGTGTGTGACAATGCTATCACAAACTATTATATAAATAATACGGAAGACTGGGGGATGGGTCAGTGAGGAAAGAGCTTACTGCACAAGCATGCGGGTCTGAGATGGGATCCCCAACACCCACATACGTAAAAGCCAGACAAGGTAAACCTATCTGTAACCCCAGCACAGGGAGGGGAGAAGACAGGCGGACTCCTGGAGCTCACTGGCCAGCCTAGCAGAAACAGTAAGAGATCCTACCTCAAAAGGCAAGGCAGTGGAACAGTTAAATTAGGTATCCCAGTGAGCTCACACACACACACACACACACACACACACACACACACACACACACACACGAGGGGGAGAGAGAGAGAGAGAGAGAGAGAGAGAGAGAGAGAGAGAGAGAGAGATACAAAGGCCATAGTTTATCAACATAAGCATTACAAAGAACACACAACAACACTGAGCAATGTGAAGTCACAACAAGGAAATATCGCTGTGTCATTTTCTAAGTGACACTAATATAAAGCAAATGTGGACATATTTAAATATGTAAATGAATTAACTGAAAAGGTAGGCATGGGCAGGTATTAAAGAACAGAAAATAAAAGTACATTATTTTTTAGCGTAGTAAGGCCCAGGTTGGGAAAACTTGTAAAACTTGTTCCATACTATATGTTTATATACTGTTACAGTCTTTTTTAAAAAATTTAATCACCATATAATTGTAGAGATATGATTTTTCCACACATACACATTTGGATAAGGAAGAAGCAGGGAAGTCTGTCACCCCAAACCTTATCGTTGTCACAGTAAATCATTTAAAATCCTCTCACATGAGTCTGTGCACCTATGCACACCTATACCTGTGCACATCAGTGTCTGTGTACACTCATGCCTGTGCACACCTATCCCTGTGCACACACTTTCTGTGCACACCAGTGCCTGTGCACATCTATGCCTGTGCACATGAGTGCCTTGCACACCTATGCCTGTGCACACCAGTGTCTGTGTACACTCATGCCTATGCACACCTATACCTGTGTACACCCTTGCCTGTGCACACTAGTGCCTGTGCACATCTATGCCTGTACACACCAGTGCCTGTGCACACCTATGCCTGTGCACACCAATGCCTGTACACACCTGTGCCTGTGCACACCTATGCCTGGGCACATGAGTGCCTTGCACACCAGTGCCTGTGCACACCAATGCCTGTACACACCTGTGCCTGTGTATACACATGTCTATGCACACTCTTGTCTGCACACGTGTGCAGGTATATGTGAAGACTAACATTGGGTGTCCTCCTCAGTGGTTTCTCACCTTACTTTTTGAGACAGTATCTCACTGAACACAGAGCTCTCTGTGTGGCCAGCAAATACCAGGGCTCCTTGTGTCCTAGGTCTGAGATTGTAGGCAAAGCTCCTCCACGCAGCTTTTACGGGGTGCCAGAGAGGCAGGTCAGCATGAGCAGCAAGCGCTTTATTGATGGGCTCCCTTCAGTCCCGCCGAGCCATTAGAAGTGCACATTATTGACCTCTGATACTCTAATATGCATTTCCTTCTTCTAACTGTAACCCGCTAACCATCCCTCCTCGTGTCCCTAGCTTTTGGTAACCACTAGTCTAGATTCCGTTCCCATGAAATAGTTTCTGAAAAAGTCTTATTATTTTTTTTTTTTAAATTTAAGACATAAGCCTACTCTCTATGTAGTCCCGGCTCTCCTGGGGCTCCCTATTTAGACCAGGTTAGCCTCAAACTCACAAAGATTCACCTGCATCTGCCTCCTGAGTGCTAGGCCAAAACAAAACTATTGGGGGGTGGGGGAAACAGTGCCAGGCTTTTGCTTTCTGTGTAGCTGAAGATGACCATGGGTGACTGATCATCCTGGCTCCGGCTCTCAAGCACTGGGATTACAGGTGTGCAGTTATGCAGGGCTGGGGGCGGAGCATTGCCCTGGCTTGCATGCCAGGCAAGCACGCTGCCATTTGAGCTGTACTGTGAGCCCGCCGAGATCAAACTTGATAGATCCCATAGGTCAGTGAGATCACCATTAGCACAAGTTTTAAACATTTCCTCCCAGCAGTGCAGAGGTACAGGCTGTTCCCCGTGAATTGTCACAGAGCCATCCAAAGCCTCATGCTTGGAGTCTTATAAGGACAATTTTACCCTTTTAAGATTTAGGGTCCCACTGAGTGTGGGGTTTGGAGTGAACGAACCTCTGTAAGATTCAGCAGACAGCTGCATGGTTTAAAAATCATCTGCAGACAAGTTGTTGATAAATTTTAACACTGAGGTTATGGAGGAGGGCACAAAGAAGACAGGGCCTCCCTCTGCCTCTCAGTCACAGGCCACTGCTGTTGTCCAGGGCCTGGGGCAAGAAAGCAGCCCCAAGGGTCACTGGGCCTCCACCAGACACATTCTCTTTGGTCACTCAGGAACTCTGCAACTCAGCTTGAACACCTTAACCGAGGTTCAGTTTTCTCATCTGTAAAGTGGGACAAGGTCTAAAGGATTCACTGATCTGCAGATTTAAGGTGAGCGTTTGAGTGCAGTGTCAGTGAATACTGAAATTCCTAGCCTTTAGGCCGCACAGGCAAGCAGCAGCTCACACGGGTTCAATTACCACTGAGCTGCTTGGAAGAAGAAATGTGTCTTGAAGCAATTGTATACTTGACTCATTTTATTGTCCCCCCCATTTTAGTGTGTGTGGAGTGTGTGTGTGTGTGTGTGTGTGTGTGTGTGTGCTTGTTTGCATGTGTGTGTGCTTTCCAAATTTGCTGGTTAATACTTCCGATCAACCGGACTGGACATGGAGTTACCATATAAACATGCTCTGAGTGGGAACTCTGTAAGAATGCTACTGGAAATGTGTAACTGAGGTGAGAAGACCTGGCCTGAGTGGGTAGCACTGGTCTGTGAGCTGGACTGAGTGAAAAGGAGAGTGAGCTGAGCCCCAGCATCCATCTCTCTGCTTCCTGACTGAGAATGCCTTGTGAGCAGCTGCCCCACTCCTGCTGCTGTGCCTTCCTCACCATGATGGACTGTGCCCTTAGACTGTGAGCCAAAACAACCTACGTACCTCCCTCCCTCCCTCCC